GATTAGTGGTTCACTAAACACAGAGTCGTACTGGGATTTTAGTATTTCACTCATTTCCTTGTTGTGATCTGTGTAAGTACCATCTTGATGAAGCCACTGTGTGGCGAAACGTTTCCTGAATAAAGATTTCCATATGCTGCATAAGTGTCTCAATCTTCAACTTGTCGGTTTTTCAAACCATTCATCACAAGTACCATCCTGTCTGAGTAAGGGCCCGATACTAGATGTGGTATTTGCCTTGTTTTTGGCATATGAAAAGAAATATTTCGAATTTCTTTCAATTTCACTAATAGCTTTAAGCTCCTCCTGTCTCTCCTGGTTCCTGTAAGAGTCATTTAATGTAAGTTCGATAGTTTCCACTTCCCTGGTCAGCGCCTACTTTCGTGTATCAGATATTCTAGCACTCCTGAGGAGCTCAGTGACTCTTCATCGTCTTATGTAGAGGGAGCGTCTTTCTCTCTCCAGTTTACTCCTGCTCTTCTTCTTTCTTAGGGGAATATGCCTGAATAGGCCCTGTGTGTTCGCTCAAGATGCACATCACTGACTAGCTTTTGCTAATTGTTATACACTTATTGTTCCATTTAGAAAAAACCCTCGCCATTTGGCACATTAATCACCATGTTCACACTATTAACCGAGGTGTTCTTCTGTTCATCATCTAATGACCGTGTCGTGGGCGGCCACTTCCTCCCCCAACCCACGACCCGGCGGACACAGATGTAAACAAAAGCTCCTCCACACCTCCACTGGCAGGATCCCCTCACCACCGCTACTCCCCAAATCCCAACATGCACACTGCACTTTTACTGATACAGAAGCAACGGTCTGATGCAGAGGATTGTCACAACTCTGTGATGTGTGTTTTGTTCCAGTCACTGTATTGTGCCTTTTTGTTCTTTAGTATTTTTTTTTTGTTCGTTATGGACAAATTGATTTTCACAGTTGTAAAGAAGCAGTAAGAGCGTTTTCTGCCTAATAAGCAGTGATTTTTTTTCAATAGCTGCGAAAATCAATCTGTACATAATGAACAAAATATATATCATGAGGAACAAAAAGGCACAGTTTCTGGTATATAAAACATCTGGTGATTTATATACTAGAAATTTCATATCTGCATTTTGCAGCAGATGTTTGTATAAAATGCACTAAATTACGTTGTGTTGCACTATGGAGAAAAATCTTGAACTGAGATTACTGCAACATAAATACAGCATCAAAACCGTGCTAGAGTATGATTCTGCTTATTCGTGTAATAAATTTTAATCACTATTTATTGGTTGAAACTGTGAAGGTTGTTACATGGCTGAACAAAATATAATTCACTCGAGTTTTATAAAAAACAGTTGTGATTATCATTTTAATATAAATCACGATTGTATGTAGTGGCGTTGCTAGGGTTGGTGTCACCCGGGGTGGCATCTTTGGTGTCACCCGGGTGGCATCTTTGGTGTCACCCGGGGTGGCATCTTTGGTGTCACCCGGGCGGCATCTTGGTGTCACCCGGGGTGGCATCTTTGGTGTCACCCGGGTGGCATCTTTGGTGTCACCCGGGGTGGCATCTTTGGTGTCACCCGGGGTGGCATCTTTGGTGTCACCCGGGTGGCATCTTTGGGTTCACCCGGGTGGCATCTTTGGTGTCACCCGGGGGCATCTTGGTGTCACCCGGGCGGCATCTTTGGGGTCACCCGGGGTCATCTTTGGTGTCACCTGGGGGGGCATCTTTTGGGGGTTACCCGGTTTGGCATCTTTGGTTCACCCGGGTGGGTCTTTGGTGTCACCCGGGGTGGCATCTTTGGTGTCACCCGGGTTTGGCATCTTTGGGGCACCCGGGGTGGGATCTTTGGT